CAGGCAATCCTCTCACTTCAGCCTCCCAAAGTGCTGGGAGTATGGGCATGAGCCACCATGCCCAGCCTCATCATTTCATTTTCAATGTACTTATATCATTATATTTAAAGTGAGTTTCTGGTAGACAGCCTATGTTTAGGTCATGTTTTTTATCCATTCTACCATTTATTTTTTATTCTTGAAGGATATTTTTGCTAGATATAGGTTTCTGGGTTGACAGTTGTTTTTTTTTTCTTTCAGCAGTTGGAAAATGTATAACTTCCTTCTGGGCTCTGTAGTTTCTGAAGAAAAATTCACTTTAATTTTAATTGCTCTTATAATTAAGGTGTTGTTTCAAGCATTTTTCTTTGGTTTTCTGAAGTCTGGTTTTGATATATCTTAGTGTAAAGTGTTTGTGGTGTTTTCCTTCTGGAGTTTGCTCAGCTTCTTGAATCTGTAGGTTATGACTTTTGCCCTATATGGGAAATTTTCACTCATTAAATTTTTGAATGTCATTTTTAACTCTGCTCTTTCTCTTCTCCTTTGAGACTCTTATGACAAGATTGTTGGATTTTTCTTTCTTTTTCCCAAGGCTCCTATCTTTTTTGGTGCCAGTCTATTTTTTTTGTGGTAAAATATACATAACATACCATTTACCATTTAAACCCCTTTTGCGTGTATAATTCAGTGCCACTAAGTACTTTTGCATTGTTATGCAACCATTACCACTCTCTATCTCTAGAACTTTCCCATCATTCCTGACTGAAACTTGACACCCATTAAATAATAACTCCCTATTCTTCCCTCCCTCCAGGTGCTGGTAAACATTATTCTACTTTCTCAGTAAATTTGACTATTCTAGGAGTTCTTTTAAGTGAAATTATGCAATATTTGTTTTTGTTTTTGACTTATTCCACTTAGCATGATATTTTCAAGGTTTGTTCATGTTGCAATGTACTAAAATTTAATTCATTTTTTAAGTCTGAATAATGTTTCATTGTATGTATATGTCACATTTTGTTTATCTGTTCATTCATTGATAGGCATTTAAGTTAATTCTTCTTTTTGACTATTTTGAATAATGCAGCTACAAACACTGATGTACAAATATATCTGTTTGAGTTTCTGCTTTCAATTCTTTTGGGTATATACCTGAAAGGGAAATTGCTGGATCATTTGGTAATGCTATGCTTAATTTTTCAAGGAACTGTCATACTATTTTCTACAATTGCAAACCATTTTACATTCCGTTTATATACAGGCTGAGTAATTTATATCATTCAAAATCCAATTCACTCTTTGTTTAGTTTTGCTTTGTTTTGTTCATTTTTCTTTTGGTTTTTCTATTAGGTCCATTCATTGCGTTTTTGGTTTTTGTTATTGTATTTTTTCGTTCCAAATTTCCATGCAGTTCTTATTTATATCTTCCGCATCATAGATAAGACTAAATTTGCTTGTTGAGACTTTTCAATATTTGTCTCAAGTCTATTTGTAATTGTTTACTGAAACATGTTATGGTGGCTCCTTTAAAATCTTTGTTAGATAATTCTTACTTCTCTGTCATTTCAATGTTGGCCTCTATTGTCTTTTTTCATCGTCTGAGATCTTCCTGGTTCTTGATGAGATGATGAGTGATTTTTGACTGAAACATAGACATCTGGGTATTTTATTTCTGTACTCTGCATCTTATTGAGACCTGTTTTAGCTGGCTTCCTCTGACACAGCTCTGACAACTGAAGGGTGGGTGGGCG